TAGTTGGTACAATAAAACCGTTAAGCTTATGTCTGCATGAGCTTCCTCTCTTTGTTACAAGCAGGAGCCAACTTTTAACACTCCTGATCAGCAATATGAGATGCAGCAATCAGAGTTAACAATGTGTCCAGTCCCACTGTGTGATGTGACAATGACGTGTTTCACCTCCTAAAAGCAGAAGAGGAAGTTGAAGGTTAGTTAAGATAAACTTTTTTTAGATAGTGTTCATTAGAAAACAGACAGGATCCATGGTGATGGTTAACAGCACACATGAACAGACAAGTGAAGAGTCAAACTCTGGAAAGCTGGCGTTTCCCAGGGATGGTGCATGGTGCCGTGGGAAACAAAAGAGAGAGAGAACGGGCGGAGTTGGCAGCAGTCTTAAATACATCTCAGCCAGGCTGAACAGGTGAGCCACATCTCCTGACGACCCTGGCCTTGGTTCCACCGATAGACAGCCTGGAACTCACAAACACCAAACCAGCACAACACAACAGACACGGGTCGTCACAAGAGTTTGGGACTCTGTCAGTCACTGTGGATGAGAGAAAACTACATTTCAAAAATGTAAAAGTGAAAATTATAAGAGAGTTTTTGGCTGTTTGGACATCGACAAGAAATTCAGAGAGACTGAAATCTAAAACAGACTAAAAGTCACTATGAGGAAGTGACATCATCCTAACCACAGGAAGTAGCTGCAGTGTCTCTCTACTAAAGCACTAGTTTAGAAACTCAGACAGTTCTGAGCACGAGAACAAGAGACAGAAGAAGGAGAGACTCAGAGAATCATGATGGTTGAGTTCAAATGGATTTCTTTATTTCTTACAGCGGTGCTTCAGTTTACAGGTAAGAATACATATATCACATATATAAATGGAAGGCACATTGTAAAAAATAACTTGATCAATATTATTAAAGATTCTTTATTAGCTACATTTGATTTAACTAAGAAAACCAAATCTGTTGTTTCTAATGTGCTGAGTTTAGTGAACTCTTGGAAACTAAGGATAAAGAAATAATCGTCACTAACTATGAACATAACAGACATTTTCTCATTTCACTTTATTTTTCATCATTTTCTCAACAGCAGCAGCTGGAAAACTTCCCTCTCCTTCACTGTCAGAGTTGGAGATGACGTCACTTTGCCTTGTGAAAATGTGATAGACGGTCAGCAAAACTGTGAAAATACTACATGGATCTTTGATGGTTCAGGAAACACAGCAGCAGTAGAGCTGGTTAAACTTGGACAGATTGGTGAAAACACCAAATCTAAATCAGACAGACTGAGTGTTACAGAGAACTGTTCTCTGGTTATAAAGAAGGTCACAGTCGAGGATGTTGGACGTTATGACTGTCAGCAGTTCAAATCAGGACAACAACAAGCTCCAGACTCTCTGGTTTATCTGTCTGTTATTATCAGTGAGTATTTCCATCATAATGTTTTCAGCTCAAACTGTCTTGTTAGAACAATATACTGAAACATTACAATAATTATGATCACAGTGATGAAGTTAACTTTACTCTTGTTTTTGTCTTTCTCTTACAATATCTCTGACAACTAAATCAACAACAACAGGTCCAACAACAATGACTACTAAACCTACAACAACAACTAAACCTACAACAACAACTAAACCTACAACAACAACTAAACCTACAACAACGACAACAACTAAACCTACAACAACGACAACAACTAAACCTACAACAACAACTAAACCTACAACAACGACAACAACTAAACCTACAACAACGACAACAACTAAACCTACAACAACGACAACAACTAAACCTACAACAACGACAACAACTAAACCTACAACAACGACAACAACTAAACCTACAACAACAACAACGACAACTACACCTACAACAACAACTAAACCTACAACAACAACAACGACAACTAAACCTACAACGACAACTAAACCTACAACAACGACAACAACTAAACCTACAACAACAACGACAACAACTACACCTACAACAACAACTAAACCTACAACTAAACCTATAACGACAACTAAACCTACAACAACAACAACTAAACCTACAACAACAACAACAACAACAACTAAACCTACAACAACAACAACAACGACAACAACTAAACCTACAACAACAACTACAACAACGACAACAACTAAACCTACAACAACAACTACAACAACGACAACAACAACAACAACTAAACCTACAACAACAACTACAACAACAACGACAACAACTAAACCAACAACAACGATAACTAAAACAACAACAACAACTGAAAACACCTCAAAATCCGTTACAGCCACAACAACCAAAGATCCTTCAACAAAACAAGGTAGTAACTCATCTTTCTCTTGAGCCTGTCTGTCTTCCTGTCTGTCTCTTTCTCTCTTCATACTAAACTTCCTTATTTACTTTTTATTAGAGTCATTAGAGTTTTGTTGGCATTTTAATGGCAAAAGACAACTTTTCTTTAATTAAGTCACTTTTTGGAAAGACAAAACTGGCCGTTCATCATAGTATGAAAAAGAAAATAGGAAGTGATAAAAATTATTATTGTTTTATTGATCATTGATTCTCTCTCTCAATTTTCAGTTTTCAATTTCAAAATGGCTTTATTAGCACAACAGAATAATGTTCATACTACCAAAGCAACAGTAATACAATAAAAGAAAACACACCAACAAACATTATGACTATAATAACAATAATAACATTGTCGCTATAGTAACGGTATGATGATTTCATATTTGTGTTCCTCTGGTTGTCTTCAGGTTTTGGCATGTACGTGTATATTTAGCTGCAATTATTTCACATCTTTGTGTTTCACCTAGTAGGTATGGAAGTTTTCCTTTATAGGTTTCAGTAATTTGTAGTTTTCTCTTAGATCTTTGTGTTTTTCACATGTTGTGAGGAAGTGTTGTTCATTTTCTATTTCCTGTGATGTACAAAGTGAGCAGATCCTTTCCTCTGTCAGAAGAAGGTTTGGCTCTATGGCTAGGTTATGATCACTGAGTCTGTACATGGTCAAGGTTCTCCGTAGTTTGTTTGCTGGGTATGTTAGTGAGGTATTTTGCTAATGTAATGCTTCTGTTTAAGGCCAAATAACACTGGAGTTTGTTCTGATTCTGAGTGTTTTTCTGCCAATGTGTGATGTATTTTTCTTTATGTGTATTTGCTATTCGGTCTAGAGTGATCGTGTGTCTGTTGTCCTGAGGATCTGTGAGGCTCGAGGGAGTGTAGCCTCAAAATTAACTGTTTTAGGGAACTCCAATCTGGCTTTGTCTCCTGGCAGGTCAGGGCTTTGTGGTATTTGGGTTGCTTGATTTTAGATGGTTGTAGAATTTGGTAGCTCTTTTTTGGATTCTGATTATCAGTGGGTATTGGTCTAGTTCTGCTCTGCAGACGTTGTTTGGGGTTTTTCTTTCTACATACAAAATGCTCTTACAGAATTCTGTATGAAAAGATTCAGTTGGGAGTTTCTCCCATTTTTCAAAATCTAGACCTGTGAGTGGACCCCATATTTACCTCCCATAAAGGACAATTGTTTGAAAAGATCGATGTGAAAATCTTTAGTCATATCTAAATTAGTATGTAAATTTATATTTCTTGATGACGTAGACATTGCTTTGTCCCTCTTTCACAGCCATGTTGAAGTTTCCTGTTGTGCTCATGTTTAAGCCCAGATATGTGTAATTTTTGTGATGCATTGTCATGCAGGATAAGTGTCCTTCTTTATGTCGGGGATAGGAGGACTAAGTCATCTGCACATAGAAGGCATTTAATCTGTGTGTCGTGCAGTGTAAGGCCAGGTGCTGGAGATTTTTCTAGAGATTTTTCTAGTGTTTTTGCAAATTTGTCAACATGTACGGTATATTGGAGAGAGTTGGACTCAAATTACAACCCTGGCGTAAGCCACGCGCTTGTGAATCATATTCTGCATGTTTATTACCAATTTCCACCAAACATTTGTTATTTGTATAGATTGACTTTATGATGTCATATGTTTTCCCTCCAACACCACTCTCAAGCTGTTTTTAGAATAAACCATCTCTCTCTCTCAGCCGTGGGTGGAGATATTCTCTTATTCAGTCAAATGTGTTCACACAAATAAAATACCAAATAAGATGATTTTAATTCTCTTTCCAGATTTGCTGCTCAAGGTGTCTCTGGGAGTTGCCGCCCTGTTAATAGTTGTTATTGTTGCTCTCATCATATGGAAGAAAACTAAAGGTGAGAGCAACCACAGATATTATAAACAAGAAGTTTTGATGAACCTGGATTTTTATTGTTGAAGCTAAAGTCGACTCTCTTTTGTCTCTTCAGGAAAAAAAACCCAGATGGATGAAAACACTGTGAGTTTTACGGCTGAGTAATCAAATGTTTCTACAGTTATGACAGAGCTGAATCAGCTGCTCTCTGACAGAGTCATCCAAATCTAAACAGCCTTCACAGAGCCAGTGTTTGACCACATGGAAGTAGACTCTGTTTGTTTGTTGTTTTCAGGGACGGAGCTTAAACCCTGCAGTGAGTCCAGAAAGCAGTCAGGACACGGTGAGATCTCACACTACACCCAGGACAAAGTTACACTCACTGTTTTTAGATTTGTTGTTCAAAATGTAGCTCTATGAGACACACAGTGACTCTTGAATCTAAGTTCTTTCTGCAAGAGAAGAAGTGGGGAGTCTGATGATGCAGCTGGACGACACCAGAACAGACCAGAACACAATCAAGTCCACATGTTACTGAGCAGCCATTATGTTGTCTTCTCTGTGTAGGCTGATCCTGAAGATGGTGTTTCCTACGCCTCCATCAGCTACACCAGGAAGACCAACAGTAAAGGCCGGGTAAGCTGTCTGATTGGTTCTAGTGATGATGGCAGTGAATGAAAACACTTCTCTCATTTAATGTTGTGTAATTTCTGTGTTGTGCTGTTTGTCTCTTTTCCAGGTTCTGGGTAAAGATGGCGATGATGAAGATGATGCAGTGACCTACAGCAGCGTGAAAGCTTCCTCTTCTTCTGCTGGAGCCTCAGCTGATCCCAGCGACCTCTACGCCACCGTCAACTAACCAAACAAATAAGAGACCACAGTGTAGTTACAGCTCATATCATTACAGGTCATTTACACTGAGAACTGATAAATGTTTTATTATTTGAATTATTTTAGGATAATATATGGGACATTTAGCTTGATGAACTTGCTGTCGGGCACTTTAATGTGCTAGTGCTGTGTTGTAGTTAGTATTAGTTTTTACTGTTATTTCTGTATCAGCTGTTATTGTTTGATATGCAGTCATTTTAACACCTATATCTCTGTTCAGGTTATTGTTTATGTTCTGGTATGAAAGTAATTAAATGTCAATCAGAAGCAGAAAGGTGGGTCAGCGAAAAGACGGTAAACAGCTTCGATTCAGCTGTAGGCTACATGTTACCGACCAGCTTGGTAACATGGCCTGGAGCAAGAGTTTCATAGTGGTGAGTTATTAATCTGTAACAAAAGTATCTTTCATCCATAAAGTTATAACTGAGCTCTGTCTCTACATCACAGTAACAACTTTATGTCCATTGACTGCTTGGAGGGTAGCTAGTGTTTGGAAGGGAGAGAGCTGTGTGCTGCAGCCCACTGTTTTTCCACCGGCGTTTTTGAGGGTGTGTTGGACTAGTCGACACGTATTTTCTTGTGACATCACAAGAAAGGGAAGAAAAGGCTGGACGATCTGTTTTCAGACTGTTCAGAGCAGAGTTTTCTGTGGGAGATGGGAACTCCCTCTGGGCTGGACTTTTTCACTTTGCAAACCTGTTACATGCACAAAAAAAAAGATATAACTCAATAAAGGAGAGGGGAAAAGCCAAAAAACATAATACCACCTCTTTAACTTCCTCTTCATCTTTTTAGAATGTGAAACATTATTGTCACAAATAAAAGGCAATATAAAGACAAAGGTCAGTTTTACTTGAAACAGGCAGGCAGGGTCAGAACACCAGGTAATAATGCTGCATTTGACACATGAAGTTGGATTTTGTTCCTAGTCGGAAATTTCAACTGGAACGCCGCCTTAAGGAGGCAGAGTGTTACACACTTCTCTGCGCTTCCATTTCAGCTTTTACCAAAACTCCATAGTGACGGCGTCTGCCCCCAAGCAGATGCTGAAAACAGTAGAAGTATTGGCTCCGACACTGTGGAACGCTCTTTCTTTAGACTTACGTTCCTCAGTCTCTTCACGCCTTTAAAAAGCAGCAGCAGACTCTTTTCTTCAAACTGCCCTTTGTCTCGCCTCGTGCTGTTTAGTGTTTGTAAGTCACTTTTACTATAATAAACCAGACCACCATCTTTCTCTGACCTTAACCAGCTGCTGCCAGAGTCTAAGTCAAGTTTAATAATACTGAAAGCAGATGTTGTATTTTGCAAGATTGAAGAACAAATCAGGGAACATTTTACTGTTACGTTCAATATCAAAATTTTTGTGACTTTACTTTTTTACAGTGTGTTACCAGAAACTAAATCCAGTCTGTGTTACGTTTCCTTCAACATGTGTTTACTGTGGCACATTAGTTGTAAACAAACTTAATTTCTAGGAGACAAGTTAGAGCAGTGAGAATGGACATTTTGTGAGTATAAACCTTGAAATGAATAATATCTGCATCTTCATACGTTCAAACAGGAATCTTTCAAGAAGGTGAGAAGAGAAGATGTAAATGTCACAAAGACACAACTAGTTATTTAAGCAGAGTGTTTTTATCTGCTTTAAAACACGTCTGGTTGTTAGACCGGTTCAGAAGCAGCTCTGCATGACGACTGTTGGAGCCTTTAGATCTTTTTTACAGCAGACATGTTTAATTGTCAGGACTCTGAAACTGAAGCAGCTAAATGGAATCCAGCTATCATTATTTTTTATTTAAATCTGTGTTTTTCCTGCTGTACCGTGTCAAAATGTCTTCTGTGGAAAAACCTGTTATGTGGGTTTTGTTCAGGTTAGTATTGAATCTGGATATTTTCCCCTTCAGGCCAGTAGGGGCTGATTAATGTTATTGTGCAGATCCTGACTGTGACATAATATAATGCACCTGTGAGTTGTTTCTAGATCGAGGAAAGTTTCATCAACTGCAACAAGTCAACCTTCAAGTTCTCTGCATCTCGTACTGCTGCAGGTTAGTTTCTGTCTACTGAAGCTATCAAATATCAACAAGCCAGTAGGACCGTTTGCTGAAAATAGTCCATAACTAATGCACAATTTCCTCCTAAGTCCGTGTGTGAAGTATAATTCATCTGCAGTTGTTCACATTGTATGATGAAAAGAGCCAGTTTAGGGGGTATTTCCTAATTTCATTGTCCTACTTGCGCTAATGCAAATGTTTTGTTGTTTTGCTGTATGCCATTAATTGTGTGGCCTGTTTTATTTTCTATGGTTTTGTCCATTATATATGTTTTATGTATGTATATATGTATGTATGGGTTTTTGTTGTTGTTTTTTATTACGTCTTTTTCTGTATAACTTGTCCAGCACTTTGGTCAACTCTGGTTGTTTTTAAATGTGCTTTATAAATAAACTTGACATGACTTGACTTGAATACCTTGTCTGTGGTCCGCTGGCAGAACACCGGCTGCTTTCTGATTAAATACAGTCGTGCTGTTGCCGAGGCGACATAAGTTTAATTTTACGGTGGACGGACGGTAACATTACAGAGTTGATGTTTCCTTTAGCTTGAAATAATCACATACTTTGGACACTTTCTTCTTCATCCCTGGGTTTGCAAAGTGGGGGAAGAGAGAGAAAATAGCTCTCTCTTCCCCCACTTTGCAAACAGCGGCATCATAATGACGCCGTGTTCACAGCGTAAGCGTGATGTGCGACAGTAATAAATGTCCGTGTGAAACACTGTGCTGTATAGTTATATCGATTAAACGAAGCATCGATGCATTTTATTAATCAATGAATCATTTCAGCCCTAGTTCAGGGTCTGCTGACTCAACTGTGAACTCAGTTTCAAAACATCAACAGTAAACTGGGAGGAACATTTTGGATTTGGGGTACCACATAAACACTCCCTCTCTGGTCAGTCAGCTGGAGGAACATGTGACAGTTTGGGGTAGCCTCCTTTTGGTTTAATATACTTTATTTATTTTCTTTGACTTTAATTATTCAGTTAATTTCCTTCAGCATGTCCTTTACCACAAAAACACTTCCTCTCTCAGTGGCAGAAACAGGTAACAGTAACTGTAAAAGTCATTTGGTTTAATGTTTATTATTTGTTTATTGTTTATTAATGTTTATTATTATTTCCTGCCACCAGGGGGAGCCATGGCGCTGTCACTTTGGCTGCACCAGAGTTGATTTAATCAACTCTGAAAGGAGAATTATTGTATTTTGTTTGGTATTTACACTTTTCCTGCATCAGTTGTGAAAATCTTTATTTTCTGCAGCCAGTTCAGAACACAGCAGCTGGATTTCAGCTTCATTTAACAGGAACATTACATTTACTCATTTTGCAGAAGCTTTTATCCAAAGCAACAACAACATACAAGCATCAACAGAGCATCAAATACAGCACGAGAACTACAACTGACAATACATGGAAGAGCTAATAGCAAATATCGCATCAATGGGCTAAATAAGGGAAAGAAGTTAGAGTTAACAAAAAGTGCAATCCTTACAGGATAATTGTGGGGGACAGAAGAAGAAGAGCACAGGAAGTGCATGTTAAAGGTTAGAGGTTTTATAAGAGGAAGTGTTTCTGCAGAGTTTTCAGGGGCTTCTTGAAGTTAGAGAGGGACGCCCCTGCTCTGATGGCGTGTGGTAGCTCGTTCCACCATCGTGGTGTCACAGATGAGAACAGACAGGACTGGGATTGCTTTGTGTAGGAAGGGATGGCAGAGCCAGGCGGCGTTCGTTGGAGGAGCGCAGCAGCCGAGTAGGAATGTAAACTTGTATTATGGAGTTTAGGTAGATGGGTGCAGACCCAGTAGTAGCTCTGTATGCAGCATTAGGGGCTTGAATTTGATGCAGGAGGCCACGGGGAGCCAGTGGAGGTCACTCAGTAATGCAGTGACATGAGTCCTTTTGGGCTGATCAAAAACAAAACGCGCTGCTGCGTTCTGAACCATTTGTAGGGGTTTCACCGCACAAGCTGTTATACCTGCTAGGAGGGCATTGCAATAGTCGAGGCGAGAGATAACCATGGTCTGTACCAGAAGCTGGGTGGCGTACTGAGTGAGGTAGGGGCGGATTTTCCTGATGTTGTATAGAGCAAAGCGGCACGACCGAGAGACAGCAGCAACACGGTCTGAAAAGGACAGCTGGTCATCAATCATGACCCCCAAGTTTCTCACCACCCTGGTTGGAGTGATGGTTGAGGAGTCAGTTTGTAGCTTGATGCTGTGGTGGATAGAGTACTTGGCTGGAATGACCAAGGATCATGTGATTGACTGTGTCAAAGGCAAACAGGATAAGAACAGGATTGGGCTGCAGCTTTAGCTGACCTTAGGGCTTCTGTTACAGACAGAAGAGCCGTTTCAGTAGAGTGGCCTCTCTGAAAACCAGACTGATATGTTTCTATCTAGGAGGTCATTCTGTGAGAGGAATTCTGAGACCTGTTTGAAGACGGCCCGTTCAATAGCTTTGCATAAAAATGGTAGAAGTGAAACTGTCCGATAGTTCTCAACTTCAGTAGGGTCGAGTGAGGGCTTTTTGAGCAAGGGTTTAACCTGAGCCCTTTTGAAAGTGGTCAGGAATGTTCCCGAAGCCAGAAAAGTATTTATCGCACCACGTAAGGAGATTTGGCTTGGAGGAGATTTGTAGGAATCGGGTCCAGTGGGCATGTAGTGGGACGGCTACGAGTCCGGAGTTCTGATACTTTGCTCTCCGTGAGAGGAGTAAACGAGGAGAGTGAAGTGCCATTGACCTGGGAGGACAAAGGAACAGATGTAACAGGACTGCTACATGTTAGTCTTGGTGTTTCCTGAGGGGGAAAATGGCGCAGAAGGGGGGTTATTCTAACTTTGGACAGGTTTGTGCGGCGGTGTTCATGAGAGAGAAAGAGGGAGCAAGTGAGAGGAGGTGCTGCATGAATATGTGCTCCTCAATACAAGCTCCTCCATCAAAAATGATTTTAAATACACCTAGTAAAAAAATTAGAAAATCAATATGTGGCGGTCAGCGTTGATAATTATCCAAATTATAGGCTAATTATGGGAAACTCTGCTTTCACTACGACCCCCCTTCACCCCAAACAAAGCATCTCTCCCGACTTTGTAACTAGCCTAATATTTTATTCATAACAGCAGCAAGGAGTCTATTTTTGTTATGGCAGAAAATTGTGTTTTCCACAACAGTTTTTACAGAGCATATAGCCGAGGCCTAACGTTTCTTAGCACCACCGGCTGAAATAAAAAAAATAAAGCAAGTAAATCCCGACTTTTAAACAGCTGTTTTTCTGCACATGTAGCCTGTTTATAAGAGCAGTTACAAAACGTTACATTAACGCCACTCTCTCTATGATGTATGTGAGTGTAAAGTCCATCATATGTGTTACTGGTGTTTACTGCAGCCTCATGATGCCCAAGACAAATTTCCCTCAGGGGACAATAAAGTAGATCTTATCTCTCTCCCTCGTTCTCCTTTCTTCCTTTAGTTTTTGGCTAACAGCTGACATGAAAAACAAAGTCTGGTGCTGCTGACCTGCCACACAGTCGTGGATTCACGTCAAGGATAGTGCGTTCAGTAACGAGTACGGCAGCGATACTTACATTAGTAACTGTAATGATATTACTGTTTTAGAAAAGTAATTAGTTACACTAGCCTACTAGTTACTGGGAAAAGTAACATTATTACAGCCCAACACTGGCCACGGGTGGGACTGGTTCTGGCGAGCAGGTTTGGTGGATAGAGGACACAGGCTATCCAGGCATGAGCTCAGTGTAGAGCACAGAGATTGTGCGGCATCATTGACCTCGAGTGAGGAAAATGTGAGGGGAGGTAGAGCGGAGGCTACCGCTGAGGCAAAGTGAGTGGGAGACAGGTTGTGGCGGTGTGAGACATAAGGTGCTGGAACAATGGGCTGTTCCTGTAGGCGGATGAAATAGTGGTCAGACATGTGTAGAGGTGTGACTGTAAGGCATTCGGTGGCACAGTTTCAGACAAGAACGAGGTCCAGCACCTTGCCAGCTTTGTGCGAACCCGTGTTAGATCAAAGGACTGAATCAGAGACAGGAAGCCTGCTGAGTTTGATTTGTATCAGTGAATGTTCATGTCAACGAGGACAAGTAACGAACAGTCATGTTCTGGGACTGAAGACAGCAGCGTGTCCAGCTCGTCCACAAAGTTACCCACTTGTCCTGGTGGACGGTCACAATCACAGACCTTTACCGGAACGGACAGCAAGTCAGCATGATATTCAAAGGAGGCAAACTGATTTGGGGGAAGCAGCTGTGTGAATTTTCCATTTGGAACGAGCATTTAACTCTAGTAACAGTCTCCTCTTTATTATATCTGATAACAATATAAACTGCAAATAAAGAAATGTTCACCACTTTAGTCTACATTGTGTTTGTGATTCCTTCATGTACTAACAGTGTCATAATGGAAAGTGAATATTCTTTACTATGAATGTTCTGCCTCTACTAGTAGAACCACCTCCCTCCTCTTGTCCCCTTCTAGTAGTAAACCTTCCCTCTGGAGGACCTCTAACCTTCCAGTGTCATGTTACGTCAGGCAGGGAGCAGATAAAGCAAGGATTCAGACAGAGTGCGAATTATACAGTGACAATCGAGGGGTCAACTTTTTTTCCAGGTCGTAAAGGAAACAGCAGGTGTTTGCCTCAGTGAACTGAAGTCTTATCCTGCATTCAGACCAAACATATTTAAAAAAGCAAATTTAATCTTTTCAACGCTTTAACGCGAATAAACACAACTCACCATTACTACAGCTGTATGAAACCAAAGTAAACATTTTGTTGGGATTCAATTGCAATAAACTAAACTAAATAAATCAAACTGTTTGATTTGTTAAAGATATGAATTCATGCTTTCTCAGGTCTGACAGCAAGTCAGCAGGACAACAACTTCTAAAAGGTTTGTTTTCTGAATGGAGTTTGGATCGATCAGGGCTTTGCTACGCTAATTTGTTCACAGTAAAGTACAACAATAGCTGGAATAAAATTACAGACACATATTTTCTGAACTCACCAGGTAGTTCAACCTTCTCGCTTTCTTTTCTCCAAGTAATGCAGTGTTTTCTGTTCATTTATTCATTTATTTTAGCTTTTATCCAAAGCGACTTACAATTGCTATATATGTCAGAGGTCGCACGCCTCTGGAGCAACGAGAAGTGTCTTGCTCAGGGACACAATGGTGGATGGGTCACAGTGGGGGATTGAACCAAAGGCAAGTGTCTCAGCCACTGCTCCATCACCCCTTCTAACAACAACAGTGAAACCAGATTTGCACGGAAGCTAGCTGCTGAGAAGCTCCAGTGAAGATAAATCAACGTTGTCATCCGCAAAACTAAAGTGAAAAGCTAATTTAATAAAAGCAGTTTACTCCGAGCTCCTCCCACGGGTAAACGGCGTAGTTGTCAGAGTGTAATCCAAACCGACCGCAGGTGTTTATTTGTCCAAAAGCTGCAGCGCTGCATTTGGGTCTGTCCTCAACTTCTCCAAGTGTAGCAGCTCTCCGCCGACCAGCGGCATTTCAATCCCCCGCTCTGCCCGGCCCTCTCCACACAACGCTCTGAATCTGTCGGTGATGTCAGGATGATCTCAACGCTGATAGGCTACAGCGACTTAGCATCATGCGACTTTCTCGCTCGAGTTGAAAATGTTCAACTCACGCAAAGGCCTTCTCGTTGCCGGCAGCGCCCTCTTCGCACCCCCCGACAGGAAATCGCAGCGCTATGTGTCTTTGCATTGACTTTGTATGTAAACGCAGCGCCCACAACACTCACTTCGCTTTTGGTCTGTAAGCACCTTTACAAAGTTACAATCTCCTTGTTTGTTTAACGTAATGTCTGCAGTCTGTAGATGAGGATGAATCAAGTTCACCAGTTCATGGGTGCCACAAACAGGAGTCACCAAGTATTGTAGAAAGTCAGACCCACACAATGCTGAACCAGAACCAAAGACACTATCATAAAATACAGTCTGCATTATCATCTCTAATTCATAATTCTTATCATTTCAAGTTTTAACTTTCAACTTACTCTTTTCTAAGCAAACATCTCATTTCCTCTAGCTCATGTTAACTGTGAATGAAATGTAATCTGCGTTCAATAAAGTAGTAGTCATACATGTGAAACAACAAACCTGGATTTGAACATTTTTCAGTTACCTAGCCAGGTAAAACTCCCAAATTCCAGAGTGAAAACAAATGGCGTGCTTATTGTAAAACACAGGCGAGCCAACACTAGACAAAAAGGAATACACACACTTAAATACCCAAGAGAGGTGGAGGAAACGAGACACAGGTGGAAACAAAAATCAACTCAAGGACAGGAAGTGAACTGACAAAGACCCATGAGGAAGGATTTAACAAAAGAAAACAGGAAATCACCAAACTCACAACCAAAACTAGGACATCCAGGGGTTAAAGTAGTTTTCATCAGAATTTGATAAACGCCTGTTTGTCTCATGTCCACATTCTCACCAAAACACTTCCTATTCAGCTCAGTCAGGAGAGACTTAAATGAAAAAGAGGCTTAAAGAGGAATTAAAAGGAAAAGGAACAGGAGAGTTTAAGAAATGTGAGAGGGATGTATGGCCTACCTGGTGGAGGGGCTGTGACCACAGAGGCCAGAACCAGAATGGATGTGAAGGGCTCAGTGGGATCACTGAAGACTGCTTGATCCACCAGCTGCTGGAGCGAGAGAGGGAGGGAGGCCTGGAGCTGGAGTGATGCTGCAGTCTTTTATCTGGTCGGGGTCCTCCAGGAGAGAAAAGACAGTTTGAAAGTTTGACAGCAACAATATGATTGGCTCACAGAGGTTGTGGCAAATTCTGATTGGTTTAACTGAAAGAATGAACGCCCTCAATCTAATGACGGAGTTGGAAGCAGAAAAAAGGAAGAGAGGGGGCGGGGGAGAAATAGAGTCAGCATGAACGATGTCTTCCTGATTCAACTTCTGCTGAGCTTCAATTCTCAGAAAAAAGAGCTGCAAAGATAAAATGAGGAACCAGCAGATCTCAGAGCAGTAAAATATCATCTTATCTGTGTTCTTCAGCAGCTGCTACAGTATCACCATATTGCACCATGGACATCAGGAGTCAGATTCTGGTGGGAGAGGAGTTTGACTCTTCACCTGTCTGTTCATGTGTGCTGTCAAACATCACCATGGATCCTGTCTGTTTTCTAATAAACACTATCTGAAGAAAACAAGTTGCATCATTGCAAACATTTATTTTAACTAACAATCTTCACACCTTCAGCTTCCTCTTCTTCTTCTTTTCGCTTGGTGAAACACGTCATTGTCACAAATAGACCTGAATGAACAAAGTGTGAACTCTGATGGCTGCATCTCATGTTGCTGATCAAGAATTTGGGGTCTCTGTCAGTCACTGTGGATGAGAGAAAACTACATTTCAAAAATGTAAAAGTGAAAATTGTAACTGAGTTTTTGGCTGTTTGGACATCGACAAGAAATTCAGAGAGACTGAAATCTAAAACAGACTAAAAGTCACTATGAGGAAGTGACATCATCCTAACCACAGGAAGTAGCTGCAGCGTCTCTCTACTAAAGCACTAGTTTAGAAACTCAGACAGTTCTGAGCACGAGAACAAGAGACAGAAGAAGGAGAGACTCAGAGAATCATGATGGTTGAGTTCAAATGGATTTCTTTATTTCTTACAGCGGTGCTTCAGTTTACAGGTAAGAATACATATATCACATATATAAATGGAAGGCACATTGTAAAAAATAACTTGATCAATATTATTAAAGATTCTTTATTAGCTACATTTGATTTAACTAAGAAAACCAAATCTGTTGTTTCTAATGTGGTGAGTTTAGTGAACTCTTGGAAACTAAGGATAAAGAAATAATCGTCACTAACTATGAACATAACAGACATTTTCTCATTTCACTTTATTTTTCATCATTTTCTCAACAGCAGCAGCTGAAAAACTTCCCCTCTCCTTCACTGTCAGAGTTGGAGATGACGTCACTTTGCCTTGTGAAAATGTGATAGACGGTCAGCAAAATGTGAAAATACTACATGGCTCTTTGTTGGTTCAGGAAGCAGATCAACAGTAGAGCTGTTTGAACATGGGCAGATTGTTGAAAACGCCAAAGCTAAATCAGACAGACTGAGTGTTACAGAGAACTGTTCTCTGGTTATAAAGAAGGTCACAGTTGAGGATGTTGGTCATTACACCTGCAGAGTGGCCCAATCAAGACAAGTTTTAGACTCTCTGTTTCTTCTGTCTGTTATTAACAGTGAGTATTTCCATCATAATGTTTTCAGCTCAAACTGTCTTGTTAGAACAATATACTGAAACATTACAATAATTATGATCACAGTGATGAAGTTAACTTTACTCTTGTTGTCTTTCTCTCACAATATCTCCATCTTCACCAGTGACTGAACGTAAGGACGCTGATAAGGTGACGTTAACCTGTTCTGTGTTGAAACATGGACAGTTCTGTAGACACACAGTGAAGTGGCTGTATGAGGGTAAAGATGTGGACAAAGATAACAAAGACATGAAGACATCACAGGCTGACTGCTACGCCACTGTGTCTTTCCTGGATTCTCATTTTAGTTACAAATCAGAGTCTAACTTGAAGTGTGAAGTGACAGATGGTTACTCTGGAAAAGTGCAGCTGTTCACCTTCAGCCCTCAGTCCTCAGGTGAGAAAACAGGTGAGAATATGCTGAGCTGTTCAAGATGACTAAAACCACCAAAACATTTATTTATTTGATGATTTTTAAGATGACATTATTCTTTCTCATTTAGTGACAGCAGATGGTAAACATGACGGATTTTCTAACTGAACAGTTTTTTGGGTTGTGTTAATTTATTCATGCAGGTGACGCACAAACAACAACACAACAACAACTACTGAAAACACAAAATCAGTTACAGCCACAACAACAACTAATGATGCTTCAACAAACTCTAGTGTCAGCCTCTATCTCTCCCCATAATAAACCTCATTATTTTACTTTTATTTTATTCATTGTCTAATTTTTTGTTTTGCATGTTTCTACTTTTAGGCATTTTTATGGCAAAACATAAAATAATCAAAGCCTCTTTAATTAAGTCACTTTCTGGAAAGACAAAACTGACCATTCATTGTATAAAACAGAAAATGGGAAGTGATCGAGAAAATTATTATTGATATACTGATTTTAATTGTATCTCTCCTCTTCTGAAGTCTGAATGTCAGAGCGACACTCAGCTGTGGGAGGAGATATTTTCTTATTCAGTCAGACGTCTTCACACAACACAAAATAACAAAATAAGATGTCCTCTTTTATAGTCTTTCCAGGTTGGTGGTGGTTTGTTGCAGTTGCAGCTCTCTTAATAACTGTTGTTATTGTTGTTGCTCTCATCAGATGGAAGAAAACTAAAGGTGAGAGCAACCACAGATATTATAAACAAGAAGTTTGATGAACCTGGATTTTTATTGTTGAAGCTAAAGTCGACTCTCTTTTGTCTCTTCAGGAAAAAAACCCCAGATGGATGAAAACACTGTGAGTTTTACGGCTGAGTAATCAAATGTTTCTACAGTTATGACAGAGCTGAATCAGCTGCTCTCTGACAGAGTCATCCAAATCTAAACAGCCTTCACAGAGCCAGTGTTTGACCACATGGAAGTAGACTCTGTTTGTTTGTTGTTTTCAGGGACGGAGCTTAAACCCTGCAGTGAGTCCAGAAAGCAGTCAGGACACGGTGAGATCTCACACTACACCCAGGACAAAGTTACACTCACTGTTTTTAGATTTGTTGTTCAAAATGTAGCTCTATGAGACACACAGTGACTCTTGAATCTAAGTTCTTTCTGCAAGAGAAGAAGTGGGGAGTCTGATGATGCAGCTGGACGACACCAGAACAGACCAGAACACAATCAAGTCCACATGTTACTGAGCAGCCATTATGTTGTCTTCTCTGTGTAGGCTGATCCTGAAGATGGTGTTTCCTACGCCTCCATCAGCTACACCAGGAAGACCAACAGTAAAGGCCGGGTAAGCTGTCTGATTGGTTCTAGTGATGATGGCAGTGAATGAAAACACTTCTCTCATTTAATGTTGTGTAATTTCTGTGTTGTGCTGTTTGTCTCTTTTCCAGGTTCTGGGTAAAGATGGTGATGATGAAGATGATGCAGTGACCTACAGCAGCGTGAAAGCTTCCTCTTCTTCTGCTGGAGCCTCAGCTGATCCCAGCGACCTCTACGCCACCGTCAACAACCAAACAAATAAGAGACCACAGTGTAGTTACAGCTCATATCATTACAGGTAATTTACACTGAGAACTGATAAATGTTTTATTATTTGAATTATTTTATGATAATATATGGGACATTTAGCTTGATGAACTTGCTGTCAGGCACTTTAATGTGCTAGTGCTGTGTTGTAGTTAAACATGTATTAGTTTTTACTGTTATTTCTGTATCAGCTGTTATTGTTTGAATGCAGTCATTTTAACATCTATATTTCTGTAGAGGTTTAACACCTCCAGAGCTCTTTGCACCTTCTTCTTCTTCGTCTTCCTTTCATGTGGTAAACGGGTCATTGACACAAATACAAAGTGTGAACTTGAGGCTCAGTGTGAATCTAAATATAGTTTATTCTAACTGTCATGTTTCAGAGGAAACTGGCAGTGGTGAAGCCGTTCCTACGAGTCAGAGACAGGAAATATAAAGACCAAGTTCAGTTTTACTTGATCCAGGCAGGCAGAGTCAGAACAGCAGGTAATAATGCTGCATTTGACACATGAAGTTGGATTTTCCCAGTTTCCAGTCGTAAATTCCAACTTGAACGCCCCCTTAAGGAGACAGAGTGTTACACACTTCTCTGCGCTTCCATTTCAGCTTTTACCAAAACTTCATAGTGACGGCGTCTGCCCCCCCGACCATTTAAATAAATTAAATCAAAGATAAACTGAAGAGGAGCTGTGCATAAAACCCTAATAAAAGTTAAAACCACTGCTGTAATAGTATAAAAGAAATTAAAGGTGTAAATGTATAAATAAATAACAGAATATGATGCAGTATTTAGCTGCAATTTTTGGACAATGCACGTTTGTTTTTTCTATATTTAAATTGCAAATAAACGTTTCTCAAAGCATTTTTATTTGTTAGTTCACATTTCTTGGTGCAAGCTATTTTTCAGAACATTATTAACAAATGCTCTCAAAAAGTGATGTGGACAAAATCAGGCATTTCAAAATGTGGTGGGGACACATGTCCCCAGTGTAAATGACATGTTGATTCCACATTCAGACTTAAGAGCACATGAACACAGAAAAACTCAGAAGAATGACTTCACAACTCGGGAAATGGGACGATCTGAGTTTTAGTTACCCACTAGATGAAACTAAAACTTAAGTGTTTTTATCTGCTTTAAAACACGTCTGGTTGTTAGACCGGTTCAGAAGCAGCTCTGCATGACGACTGTTGGAGCCTTTAGATCTTTTTACAGCAGACGTGTTTAATTGTCAGGACTCTGAAACTGAAGCAGCTAAATGGAATCCAGCCATCATTAATTGTTTAATTTAAATCTGTTTTCCTGCTGTGCTGTGTCAAAATGTCTTGTATGAAAAAAACAGATGTGTGTGTTTTGGTCAGGTTAGTATTGAATCTGGATATTTTCCCCTTCAGGCCAGTAGGGGCTGATTAATGTTATTGTGCAGGTCCTGACTGGGACATAATATAATGCTCCTGAACACTGAGTTGTTTTAGATCGAGGGAAGTTTCATCAACTGCAACAAGTCAAATTTAAGTTCTCTGCATCTCACACTGTGAAATCATCTGTGTTTGTTTACTGAAGCCATCAGTTAGCAGCAAGCCAGTAGGACTGTCAACAAATCCCACGAAAAGTACTATTAAAACCAGTCAGTGACCTTCACTGCTGCACTGGGTGACACGTTCTGAAGAAAACAACATTTATCTTAACCAACAATCTTCACACGTCAACTTCCTCTTCTTCTTCTTTTAAGGAGATGAAACTCGTCATTGTCACAAACACCGGACTGAACAAACTGTGAACTTGAGCCTTAATATAGTTTGTTTGTTTCAGTGTTAGTTTGGCTCAGTGCAGAAACATATTCCTTTGTCTCGTGATCAGTGACTTTGTCGTATGTGTTTGTAGATGGTGGATCTTTGTCAGGCTGCTGTGACCTCTGACCTCTGATATCTTTACTGTTGGCTGCATCTCTATGCTGATCAATAATTTGGGGTCTCCGTCAGTCACTGTGGGTGAGAGATGTTACGACCCCTCCCCCTTCCTGCTTCCTTCTCCTGCAGGAGGCTGCAGGCAGGGAGGCTGATTGGGCAATCACCTGTGCAGCTCTCTTCAGAGCTTATTTAGCCAGGACTGATCAGTGTTTTGTTCTCTCTCCTCCTAAGTCAGCGTCTGACTGGGTTTGTTTTGTGTCTTTTTGGTTTATCCTGACCACACACACACACACACACACACACACACACACACACACACACACACACACACACACACACTCATCCATTCACTGCTGACACAACTGATATTCATACTTTTCCACACAACATATTTTTGGTGATCATTTGACCCTTCTTTTACTTTTATTATAAATCCTACCATTTGCGTGCAAACCTGTTGTGTCTCACCTCCTTTTTGTCACGGGCTAAGAGCTGGCTTGTGACAAGTGGGGGCTCGTCTGGAACTTGTTGTTATTTGGTGTTGATCGGCTTGTTTTGTGTAGCATCCAGCTATTTTGGTATTTGTTTACCAGTCTGTGAGGTAAATGTCAGGTTTGGTTAGGTCAGTTAAAGCTCCGTAGGAGAGAGGTTCATGGTCCTTTTGTCAGTGGTTTAGCTCTGCTGGCTGAATTTGTTTTGTTGGACCTTAGCTGGGTTTTCTAGTGTGAGCAGGAGAACTTTCCCCTGTTAGGCTTAACAGCGATTTCCCTTCGTGGTGTGGTGGTTTAGGTGGCGGTGAACGTGGGTAGAGCTTTGCTCGGGAGCACCTCCGCGGCTGTGACGGGGTCACTGGCTTTCTGGTTGCCCTTTTTCACCCCACTGGTTTCGAGTGCATAAGTACCCTCCACAATTAGCTGCACGAAGACTAGGGGGGAGTTGGCTAGATAGTCATTGTTGAAGTTAGCATGGGTATAGGGGGAGTCTTCTGCTCAGGTAGCCCAGGGTTTTATCTGTAATGGAGGGCGTAGTGCATCATTTAAAACTGACACCTGCCGATATTGTCGTGCCAACGGTCATTGGAAGAATGATGCCCCGTGTTGAAAGTAGACAGGCTGTTTCTTCAACCATACAATTTAGACATACGCCATTTTAATGCCATGTGTTTCTTTTCCTATTCCTCTACTCTCTTTGTTTGTTTCCCTGTTCTTCCTCTTAAAGTGCTTGTTTCATTTATTTAATTTATATTTTATATATTATTTTTTAACACACACACACACACACACACACAAGCTTACCGTTTTATTTATTTATTTATTTTAATTTTTAATTCTTCATTTTTTTAACACACATATACGCTTTGATTGCTTTACGCTTTAATTACTTGTTTAATTAAATGTATGGGGTTGATTGTTCTTATGTTGTATGTATGATGCTTTGGCAATATTGTTGTTACACATTCATGCCAATAAAGCTAATTTGAATTGAATTTGAATTGAATGCAGCTTGATTAGTAAAGTATGGCACATGGGTAATGTGTTGATAAATTATGGATCAGCTTGATTATATTGTAACATAAATGGTTATGAGTGTATATTGTACTGCTAACTGCTCTATGCCATATTCAAGGTTCTTAGAAGAACCTTGTTCTTAAGGGGGGGATGTTACGACCCCTTCCTTCTCCTGCAGGAGGCTGCAGGCAGGGAGGCTGATTGGGCTGCACCTGTGCAGCTCTCTTCAGAGCTTATTTAGCCAGGACTGATCAGTGTTTTGTCTTCCAACCAACGATACTTCAACAAAACTACAAGGTAGTAACTCATCTTTCTCTGGAGTCTCTCTGTCTTCCTGTCAGCCTCTTTCTCTCCCCATAATAAACACATGAATCTAACTTTTAAGTGTTTATTTAGTTCTTGTTGATTTTTTTCTGTTCTACAGCTCGTGCAGATTGTTCTGCTCTGGACTACATAATGTTGGTTATGCGTGTGGCTGAACTCCTCCTAATTACTGTGATTACTGTTCTTCTCATCAGAGCTCGAGGTGAGAACATTCACACCAACATTTGTTCACACTGATTAACATAACCTGTAAGTTTAGAGCTGAAATATTTCTCTGTGATTTATTTACCTGGTAACCAGAGACTACCTGACAACAACACAGTGACCTACAGCAGCGTGAAAGCTTCCTCTTCTTCTGCTGGAGCCTCAGCTGATCCCAGCGACCTCTACGCCACCGTCAACTAACCAAACAAATAAGAGACCACAGTGTAGTTACAGCTCATATCATTACAGGTAATTTACACTGAGAACTGATAAATGTTTTATTATTTGAATTATTTTATGATAATATATGGGACATTTAGCTTGATGAACTTGCTGTCAGGCACTTTAATGTGCTAGTGCTGTGTTGTAGTTAAACATGTATTAGTTTTTACTGTTATTTCTGTATCAGCTGTTATTGTTTGAAATGCAGTCATTTTAACATCTATATTTCTGTAGAGGTTTAACACCTCCAGAGCTCTTTGCACCTTCTTCTTCTTCGTCTTCCTTTCATGTGGTGAAACAGGTCATTGTCACAAATACAAAGTGTGAACTTGAGGCTCAGTGTGAATCTAAATATAGTTTATTCTAACTGTCATGTTTCAGAGGAAACTGGCAGTGGTGAAGCCGTTCCTACGAGTCAGAGACAGGAAATATAAAGACCAAGTTCAGTTTTACTTGATCCAGGCAGGCAGAGTCAGAACAGCAGGTAATAATGCTGCATTTGACACATGAAGTTGGATTTTCCCAGTTTCCAGTCGTAAATTCCAACTTGAACGCCCCCTTAAGGAGACAGAGTGTTACACACTTCTCTGCGCTTCCATTTCATTTACCAAAACTCCATAGTGACGGCGTCTGCCCCCCCGACCATTTAAATGAATTAAAACCGTAATAAAAATTAAAACCACTGCTGTAATAGTATAAAAGAAATTAAAGGTGTAAATGTATAAAAATATAACAGAATATGATGCAGTATTCAGCTGCAATTTTTGGACAATGCACGTTTGTTTTTTCTATATTTAAATTGCAAATGAACTTTTCTCAAAGCATTTTTTTGTTAGTTCACATTTCTTGGTGCAAGCTATTTTTCAGAACAACATCAGCCATTTCAAAATGTGGTGGGGACACATGTCTCCAGTGTAAATGAGATTTGTTGATTCCACATTCAGACTTAAGAGCACATGAACACACCTGAAGTCAGAAGAATGACCATCTGAGTTTTAGTTACCCACTAGATGTAACTAAAACTTAAACACTGAACGGTATCACTTTCTATGAAGGTCATCGCTATAATGACTTATGCATATATTTATAACACGATAAATGCATCCATAAGACATTATAATAGTTGTTATAATCACTTACAAACATGCATTAGGCGCTATAGCAAAGTTCATAATGTATTATGACCTTCTGATTTAATGTTTTATAACTAATAGTAACAGCAGTTTAACAATCTCCGACCATGTTCCATAACACATTATAACCACCGACTCTGCCTCCTTATGAATACACTTTAGTCACCATTTAGACTTAGTGATATAAAATGGAATAATAACTTATAGTAATGTTTAATGTTATATAGCGGCGCTTTGTTTGCTTTAGGTAAGTGTTAAAATATCTATCCCTGTATAATATATTACAGGTGGACATGATACCATATGAACTAATTATAAGAACTTATAACACATAATTGTTTGCTTTAAGTAAAGTGACACATTTTGCGCAGGAAAACAACTTTATACAGTGAAGAATGACACCTGACTGATTAAAGGAACAATCTGATGATTAGCAATATTTTTATTATTTTCAACAAATCCCACGAAAAGTACTATTAAAACCAGTCAGTGACCTTCACTGCTGCACTGGGTGACACGTTCTGAAGAAAACAACATTTATCTTAACCAACAATCTTCACACGTCAACTTCCTCTTCTTCTTCTTTTAAGGAGATGAAACTCGTCATTGTCACAAATACACCGGACTGAACAAACTGTGAACTTGAGCCTTAATATAGTTTGTTTGTTTCAGTGTTAGTTTGGCTCAGTGCAGAAACATATTCCTAAAGGCTGTTAAATGCTTCCTTTCTTAGCTCCTTTAGCAAAGGCTACACTGGACAGTTCTTTATGAAAGGAAAGGAGATAATGCTGTCCCACAATTCCTTGCAACAGCAGCCTTTAGAGCGACTCACCATTAGTTTCACCACGATAGACACCCATAAATGTACAGGAGCATCTAAAAAAATTACAATATCTTAGAAAAGTTTATTTGAACTGAACCAGACTGAGGATTAAAGGATCAGGAAACATTTGCAGGTGTTTTGAATTGATTCTCAGGTCAATTTTTATATATTATATTTATAACTTTAATTATAATTATGAATTTAAAAAACTGAGATGCACCTGTAGAAACAACAGAGCATCTATTTAACAAATGTATAAAAATATCAAAAGCACCCATCCCAGGAAACTCTATATTTATGTTTGAGTATAATTCACTCAACTTTCTCTACTTGTATATTGATTTTGTTATTATATTGTGTCAGCATTTTAATCCTTTTTGTTTTTTCAGCAGTATCTATGTTGTTGTTACTTCCTATGAGCAGCCTAACTGATGGTTAAATGTACCAAATGAAACATCCTTTCTTAGGAGGTGTGATTCTGTGTTGGACAGGAAACCTTTTGAAGTGAGCAGCATTGAGTTTGTCACTGTACTCATCTTCCGCGTGTTATAAATAAAGTTGGTTAAAAAGAAGCTGGTGTAAGTGCAGCCTGGTTCTCTGAGCACCGCGGTTGTCTTTTATGAATTCTCCTTCACATCTTTCCTTGACCTCATGACGTTTTCCATCAAAGTCAAGGAAAAGTGTTTAGGAAAGGACAGAGGATGGATTTTTTTTACCATTACAATGTTTGTATTTAATGTTTCATGGTTTTATGTTATGTTGTGAGGACAAACATGACCACAGTTTCCAGGTTCAGTTCGTCCACAGACACATTTTAAATCTCCAAACATGCTGAACAAAGAACAGCCTGAAGATTATTGAAATAATTATTGACTTTCTCCCGTTCTGTGTGTCTGTAATTATAATTGTCAGGACCAATTAGAGTTTGAGACCTTGGGAGTGAGGACGTTTTGTCTGTTTCTCACTTTGGGACAGACCTTTAAAAGAGTGTTTTAGGGTGAAGATTAAATAAGTTTAATTTCAATGAAGGTTTGGGTCATTTAGTTGTGATGGTTAAGAGTTAGGGACAAAGCTATACTGTGAGAGACAGAGAGAGCTCTCTGCTGGCTGTTGACTCCAGAGCGCCATCGTGAGGTCAGTCTGTGTTTGTGTTTCTTTTGTTTTTAATTCAAAGAAATCTCAACATCTACTGAACAGACTGATATTTTTGCACATGCATTTAAATACTTCCAGTAGTGGAGTGTAATTAAGTACATTTACAAGTTCATACAAAGATGATCTAGTTAGTAATCCATTATGCTTCCTCATCTCTGTTGGATCTGTGGTCATCTTTCCATCAGGGAGGCGGAGACACACCATTTGTTTTTCAAAACAACTGACTTCTCTAAATTAAAGAAGAAGGTGGATTGTGCATCTACAGGTGCATCTCAGAAATTTGAATATCTTGCACAAGGTATTTTTATTTTCATAATTTAAGTCAAAAAGTGGAACTTTCTTGAGTCAATCACAAATTTTAAATTCCTTCTCTAACTTTTATTTTTAGACTATATTTAAGTAACATTTACACATTTTACATAATATTTGTTAAATTTGTTCTTGATGTTTTTCTTTATTGAAACAATGAACAAAAAAATGAGCAACTGTTTCATTTATCAACCCATTTATTTTTCTTAAGTGAAGAAATAATTTTCTCAATAAAACATTTTCCAGCAAGTTTGCATGACAATACAACAAGGTATAGTTCACCCTAAGACTCATTTTGTTATCAATTACTCACCCTTTTGTCAATAGAAGGATTGGTGAAGTTTTGTTAACATCCGTGTTCTTCTGCGAGTTTGAGACACGTTTTTTTTCCACTCAACTGCAGTGAGCGGTATCTTAGCTTCAAACGTCCAAAAATACATCAATAATCAATAAAATGTCTCCATGCTGCTTGTCTGAGTGTCCTGTAGCTCACACATGCCAAGACGTTTGTAAAAAACATTACAAACGTGTGTTCAGCTTAGTTTGCTCTGCTGCTCGTCCCATGCGTGCTCCTTCCAACGCCACACACTACTAGTAACACTACTAACTTTCCATCCTAAACATTTGAAATAATTTCACTAAGTTTAGGAAGTTTAGAAATTTTGTCTTTGAATCATACAAAAAGGAGAAGACTGCCAACTGAGGAGGAAAGAGGAAGCGTTCAATCACATCCCCAATACAACTCTATGGGAAAAGCCCGTAACGGCAAAGATGGTGGTTATCCCGCCCCTCCCGCTAAAAAGCCAATCATCTGCTTTAAACAGCCAAAACGGGAATCATATTTCAGCCAATCGTGTGGTTCCACTGACGCATGCTTAGTAGAAGCATAACCGGTGGGGAAAAACTCTTTTTAAACATTATTTTGGGGCAAAGTCGTCAAACTTTTTCAGGGATTTTTATCAGATTTTACTGCTGATTCTATTCATGTAGTTTTTATGTCCCAGTGACCAGTGAAAGCTCAGTTCTGGCTCTCTCCCCATTCATTCAGATAGGAGCCTGGTTTTGTTAGTATGAAATTGCTGCCCAGAAGCGTTGCCAAGATGGCTGCCGAGTGGCATGACTTGCCTAAAAGGACTTTGGTACCGATAACAGCTGAGGTTTGCACTCGCTTGTACACGCACAAACAACCTGTAGTAAATCTGGCCTTATGGACCTTATGCACAACTCTAGTGATTCCTGAACTTTATTTCCTGTCTCTCAGTATTGGAAACACTGAATAATACAGAGAAGAGAGGACAGAGGAAAGAGAGAAGGGAGGATGGACGAGGAGAGTGGAAGAAAGAGAAGGGGAGAGGAGAGAAGAGGAGAAAGGAGAGGTAATCATTACCCCAAATTTCACTCTGGTTTTCATGTCAGGAATATGATTTAATTCACTGATATTTTAGATTTATTTCTTATGAGATACTGAGTTAATTTAGAGACTTTTAGGAATGCATTCCCACTCATGCACTGTG